GTTTACAGAACAGCTTGAAAGGCTCAGGTGAGCAGGTCAGATTCCAGCAGTGCCAAAGGTGGCAGCCCTGCCTGGGATGGCTGGGGGCCAGCAGTGCCTGCAGTGGGAGTTGCACAAGTGGGTGCACAGCTCCTCTGTGCTCTGCAGGGGTCTGTGACCCCTGTGTCAGCAGATGCTGCTCTCCTCGACCCCAGGCCAAAGACCTGCAGGGATTTCACCATCAGAGGAGAGCCCTGGCTTGTGATGAGGAGCTGTGTGTGGAAGTTCGTCTGGAGCCTTCCCCTGCACCCCCTGCCCTGGCCCTGCCTTTAAGCCCTGGCCCGTGCATGGGCTGCACTGTGTAGCCCTGTACCTCACTGATCCTGATGTGGCTTCCCTGTGTGCCTGGAGACTGCCTCATCCCTGCAGCCTGGGCTGGTGTTTGGCAGACTCTGGCTGATCCTTTCAGCATTGCAGCACCTGCTCTACTGTCCTTGCCTGGACCTGGTTACCATTTTCATTGCAGAGAGACACCTTTGGGTTAGAAAAATGTATTTATTTGTAATATGGAGTGTTGATGGTGCTAATGCATAATTGATAAATGTTGTAATTAGGCATTACATTACAAACAATAATACAAATAATTGTAGTATTTCAATAATACAAATAATTCAATAATGCTCATTACAAACACACACGAAACTGTAAGTGTTCATTAGAGCACATTTTTTTAAAACTTAATATTATGAAGTGAGATGAAACAGGCCACCCATCTCCTCTATAAATTGCTTCTTGCAAGATGCTTTTGCTCAGGGAAGAGTCCAGATTAACATGTTCTGAAGCAATCCCTTTGCACTCAATCAGGCAGCTGTGCTGTCCCAAACACAGGCTTTGTGGGCATCCTGCCTGCCTCAGCACAATGAGACAGAGCAGCCCTTCTAGAGCTGCATCTCTGCTTTGCTAACACTCCCTGTTATACAGGTGTGTTCCAGCTGCAGGTGTGGGATAAGCCCTTAGGTGTGCCTGGGAATGGTGGCCTGGGAGCACCTGCCTGAGCTCTGTTCTGAATCAAGCCAGCTGAACTCTGCTCAGCACATGTTCTGTTTTCACTGGAGCCTCTGGGAAATGACAATCAATTCTTGCTTTTCACTGACTGCTTCTCTGCCCAATGACTGCATCAAACTTTGGAGTGGTCATCTTCTTCAGAAGGTTCAGGGCACGTTCTGGAAATACCCTGAAAGAGACAGTGACATGAAATTAAACGTGAGATAGGAAAATTATGGGAAAAAGTGGCGCTGCAGGTAAGGGAGGAGCTGGTCTGGGATCAAAATGCATGCATACATATAGACTGAGACTAAGTATTAAACTGGGCATTATTTCCATAGCTTTCATCAATCTCTGACTAACTGAAGTCCAGCCCCGGCCTTTTAGGACAGTTCCAATGCCAGGTATCTACGGGCAGTATGTGAACTGCAATATGGCTGCAGGATCCAGGAAGGTTCAATATTGTACAGTGGTAGTTGTGTATTACATTTCATGCTCTGAAAAGCAGCAGGCCTGTGGAAAGATAAGATGTTAAAACTGAGGTGCAGTTTCCACTCCTAAGGTTGCTTCTCTTAAAGAGCTTTGTCTCTTTATTCCCCCTGTCCTAAATTATGACAAAAAAAGTGAATTATTCTAAGTGATTGGACAGCATCAATTTTGACTTGCCTATGCTTCTGCAGGCTTGCACTCTCAACAAGCAGCTCTTGGATTTGCAAAAAGATTTAAAATATATTTCCGACTGTCTGGTATTTGGTTTAACAAACAAGAAATTACCAGGTGTTTCATGAGAAACTATAGGATTTAACTGAGAAGCTAACTTAGTTGTTGAGATGTGAATTCCAGATTTGGAACTGGAGCTCTGGTAAAAACACCTCCTCAACAGAGCAGCTGCACTGGATAATTAAGTTGTGTGAGAGGATAAATCTTGCTTTATATAGCAGAGAACAGTAGAGCCCTTTTGAAGGAATCTTCTCAGCCCCTGTGGCCTCAGTGCTGAAAAGAATTAACAAACACTAACAAGCATCAGGTCCTCAACTCTTTCTGGAACTTCTTCTGACTCTGAAGTAAAAAGTTTGAACCTTGTACACTCAGGTAGTGTTGTTGCTTCCACACCCACTGCCTAATTTGCCATTGTACTTACAATTCAGAAAGCAAAGCAATGTTCAGCTGTGGTGGAACAAAAACCATTTTCTGGTTGGTCACTATTCCTTCCATCAGAGTTTCTACAACTTCTTCAACCTCCAAAATCTTTCCAAGCCTACACAGGAAAGCAAACACATAAGAGTTGCAGAGGTAAGAAGGGCTGGTACCAGCTGATCTAGGAGGCTTCACAAATGCACAAACTCAGGTAATTCAAACGCAACAATTACAGGGGTAAAAGGGCACTGCAGATTTTCTTTAGCCAGTGATACACACTGTTGTTATACAGCCAGTTGGAATAGAGGCCTAAAGCTGGGGATAATATGCAGTGCCTTGATGCAAAGAAGGAAGCACAGGAATGCAGAGTATTGAGAGTTACCTTGCACTGGGGTTTTTGACAAATCCAGTGTTGATAAAAACTGGACAAAGGCAAGTTGTTTTTATTCCATCCTTTCCCAGGGCAGCCAGCTCCTCTGTCAGAGCTTTATGGAATCCAACTGCAGCAAACTTGCTTGAGCTGCAGGAAGAGAAAAAGAACAAATGAGAAGTCAGAAATCCTGTTTCCACCCTTCTATCACTGCAAATGGCCTAAGCCATCCTATACATACAGTACAGGTTAGTATGCAAAAACCTCCAAATAATGTAATCCAGCTGAGAGGCAGAGCAAGGACTATTCTAACTTTGCCTGTGCCAGAGTGTAGTAGATTAGATATTGAGACTTGTGGAATAATTGTGTAATTTATAGCAGGTATCACAAAAAAGGCTCTTTAGTTGCAAACAGACAAACAAACGTCAGGAATTCTTAGAAAATTGCAACTGAAGTACATCAATCAAAGGATATCCTGTTCTTTTGCATGAGAGAAGACTCCTAGAAGGAAGGCAGCCTGAATGTCTAAAATTAAGAAGGATGGGCAGGGTAGAAATGGAGATTAACCCTCTACTGTTTATTGTACTACTCAGGAGCATGTTGTAAGAGTTCTGTGTGACTTTTGAAAAGAGAAGCCTTATGCAAGCAAAGCAGGAACCACCTGCCATGGACATAGGCGTGGGCCTGAGGTTTAAATCAACTCCAAAGAACGTAAAAACCACAGGGTCAGTTTATTGATTGCTATGGATTTGGTAGTGTAACCCTGGTAAGATCCCTGCCTGGAGAGCTCTCACACTGCTTACAGTGAGTTACTTTCTAAGAAGAACTCCCAGGAAAAGATTGCTCTAAGAAGGAGTGTTCCCAGGGGAAGACTGCTGCAGCTGGAGCTGCCTTTATAGAAGGCTGGATGTGGTGCAGGATGGCAACATGCAGTCTAACAGGGTTTTGGTGCCTGCACTGTGATTTTCCTGACACGTTTAAAGTAGAAAAGTAATTTGATGTCATGATGGCAGAAGGTCAGAGGGGAGGTCAGAAGGGAGCCTCTCATGGTGAGAGTCTGCTTTACAACACCCAGCCAGGGCAAACAGGCAGAGGAGGTGTTCTAAAAGCAGCTGGCAGAAGTCTCATGGTTTCCAGGCCTTCAACTTCCAGCCTCATGTCTGCTGGAAATACAACACAGCAGAGAGGAAGCGGCCTAGGAGGTTCCTGGAGTGTTTGGAAAACAACCTCCTAACACAGCTGGTAGGAGAGCCTACTGGAAGAGATGCCCTGGTAGACCTGTTGTTTGTGAGCAGAGCACTGGTGGGTGATGTGGTGGCAGTCTTGGGCAAAGGGACCATGAAATGACAGAGTTTTCAATAGTGGGTGAAGTAAAGAGGGGCACCAGAACTTCTGCCTTGGACTTCCAGTGGGCAGACCTTGGCATAGTTTGAGACATTGATTGACAGTCAGCCCTGAAGGGGAAAGGGGTCCAGGAAGGCTGGATATGCTTTAAAAAGCAATTGTGAAATATTCAAGAGCAGCCTGTCCCCATGTGGTTGAAAGACAAGTGGTCAGGGAAAAAGACCAGCCTGGTTAAACAAGAGTACTTAGGGAAAAAACCCCAATGCATTCTCTCCAGATGGAGGGTCAGAAAACTTGGGAGGACTATAAAGATGTTGCAAGGTCACATAGGGTGAAGATTAGAAGGACCAAAGCCCAACTAGAACTTGGCCTTAGAGACAACAAAAAAGTTTTCTATAAATACAGCAAAAAGAGGCTCAAGGAATGTCTCCAACATTTGTTGAATGCAGAAGGTAGTGTAGTGACAGAGGATGAGGAAAAGGCAGAGGAACTTAATGCCTTCTTTGTCTCAGTCTTTAATATTGTCCAGCTGTCCCTCAGGATTCTCAGCTCCCAGAGCTGGAAGTTAGGGACAGAGAGCTGAGGGAAGGGCCCATAATTCAGGAGGAAATGGTTAGTAACCTGCTGTGCCAATTAGACACTCACAAGTCTATGCCCTCTGATGAGATCCATGCCAGAGTTATGACGGAACTGTTGAAAGAACTTGCCCAACCACTTCAATCACCTGCCAGCAGTCCTAGTTAACTGGACAAGTGTCATCTGGCTGGAAATTAGCAAATGTAATACCCATCTACAAGAAGGGTTAGAAGGATTATCCAGGGAGTTACAGGCCTGTAAGCCTAACCTTGGTTCTGGATAAGGTTATGGAAAAGATCTTCCTGAGTGCCATTACAAGGCACATGCACGGGATCAAGCCCAGCCAAGATGGATTTATGAAAGGAAGGCCCTGCTTGACCAACCTGATCTCTCTGTATGACAAAATGGTCAACCTAGTAGATGAGGGGAAGGCTGTGGATGTGTCTATGCAGGGTCTGTCTAGACTTTACTAAAGTGTTTGATGCCATCTGCCACAGCATCCTCCTAGAAAAACTGGCTGCTTGCAGCTCGGGTGGGTGGACTCTCCCTCCAATGGGTAAAAATCAGGCTGGATGGCTGGGCCCAGAGCACTGTGGTGAGTGGAGATAAATGCAGCTGGCAGCTGTCACCAGTGGTGTTCCCCAGGGCTCCACCTTGGGCTGGTCCTGTTTAACATCCTTAGGGATGATCTGGACACAGGGATCAGGGCACCCTCAGGAGCTGGGCAGGAGACACTGAGCTGGGTGGAAGTGCTGATGTGCTCAGGGGATGGGAGGCTCTGCTGGAGACCTGGACACACTCCATCAGTGGGCTGAGGACACAGCTGCAGGAGGCTCAAGAAGGTGAAGTGTCAGGTTCTGCACCTGAGCCATGCAGTGATACAGGCTGGGTGAGGAGTGG